GGTAATAATTTTTCAGGCATGACACCAAAAGCACAGGCAAAAATAGACAGATGGGATTATATCAAACTAAAAAGCTTAGGCACATCAAAGGAAATAAGAGAATGAAAAGGTGACCTAAAGAATGGAAGAAAATATTCATAAGTCACATATCTGATAAGGGGTTAATATCTAGAATATATACACAATAGCAAAAACCTGGAGCCAACCCTGATGCCTGTCGAAAGTGACTGGATGAAGAAAATGAAGTACATATACACAATGGAGTGCTGCGCAGCTGTAAGAAAGAACAAAGTCATGTCCTTTGCAGCAATATGGATGCAGCTGGAGACCATCATTCTAAGTGAACTGTCACAGAAACAAAAAATACCGCATGTTCTCATTTATAAGTAGGTCCTAAACATTAGACACTTGAGCACAAAGGTAGGAACAATTGACACTGGACACTACTGGTTGGTGGGGGGTGTGTGGAGGAAGGGGGATACAGCCATCCACTGGGTACCATGTCTACTACCTGGGGGACAGAGAGCAATTAACTTTACAATAAAAAAAACTAGAACATATAAAAATTCCTTATCACTCAACAACAGAAGCAAAACCCCAAATAATCTGATTTTAAAATGAACAAAAGAACAGACATTTCTCAAAAAAAAAAAAAGGTAGACAAATGGCCAAAAAAGCATAGGAAAAGATGTTCAACATCACTAATCATTAGAGAAATGCAAATCAAAACTGCAGTGAGAGATTATCTCATATCCATGAAGGAGGCCAGTGTCAAAAAAGCAGAAAAAAGTAAGAGTTGGTGAGGATGTGGAGAAATTGGAACCCTTGTGCTCTATTGGTGGGAATATAAAATGTACAGCTTGTATGAAAAACAATATGGAGGTTTCTCAAGAACATTAAACATAGAATTACCATATGACCCAGGCATCTCTCCTTTGGGTATATATCTAAAGGAATTGAAAGTGGGATCTCAAAGAGGTATCTGTGCCCCCATGTTCATTGCAGCATTATTCACAATATCCAAGAGGTTGAAGCAACCTAGGTGTCCATTGATGGATGAGTGAATATAGAAAATGTGACTTATATATACAGTGGATTGTTATTGCACCTTAAAAAAAGAAGGAAATGTTGTCACATGCTACAACACAGATGAACTTCGAGGATATTATGCTAAATGAAATAAGACAGTCACAAAAAGACAAACTACTTCTGTAAGGTAGTAAAGTAGTCAGTCTTACGGAAACTGAAAGTAAAACGGTGGTTGGCAAGGACTGGGTGGTGGGGAAAATGGGGCATTGTTGTTCAGTAGCTGTTGAATTTCACTTCCGTAAGATGTAAATGTCTTAGAGAGCTTTAGCACAGCAATGTGAATATAATTAACACTGTTGAATTGCACACTTAAAAATTATTAAGATGTTAAATGTCGTGTGATTTTTTTCTCCACCTTTTTTTTTTGAGTTGGAGTCTCACTCGGTCGCCCAGACTGGAGTGCAGTGGCCACTCCCGGCCACTACAGTCTCGACCTGCTGGATTCCGGCGTTCCTTCCGCCTCAGCCTTCCCAGTAGCTGGAACTACAGGCGCGCGCTACCACGCCCGGCTAATTTTTTAATTTTTTTTTGAGTTGGAGTCTCACTCTGTCGCCCAGACTGGAGTGCAGTGGCCGCTCTCGGCCACTGCAGCCTCGACCTGCTGGGCTCCGGCGATCCTTCTGCCTCAGCCTTCCAAGTAGCTGGAACTACAGGCGAGCGCTACCACACCCGGCTAATTTTATTATTATTATTATTATTATTATTTGAGTTGGAGTCTCACTCTGTCGCCCAGACTGGAGTGCAGTGGCCGCTCCCAGCCACCGCAGCCTCGACCTGGTGGGCTCTGGCGATCCTTTCGCCTCAGCCTTCCAAGTAGCCAGAATTATAGGCATGTGCTACCACACCCGGCTGAGTTTTTGATTTATTGTAGAGATGGGGTCTCGCCTGCCCAGGTGGGTCTCGAACCCGCGAACTCAGGCAATCCACTCACCTCAGCCTCCCAAAGGCGTGGGATTACAGGCTGAGCCACCGAGCTCGGCTTTTTTTTATTATTTATTGTAGAGATGAGGTCTCGCCAAGTTGCCTAGGCGGGTCTCGAACCCGCGGGCTCAGGCAATCCACTCACCTCAGCCTCCCAAAGCGTGGGATTACAGGCTGAGCCACCAAGCCCGGCTTTTTTTTTTTGAGTCAGAGTCTCACTCTGTTACCCAGGCTGGAGGGCATTGGCACGATCATGCTCACTGCAGTCTCTACCTCCTGGTCCTCCTTTGGCCTCAGCCTCCCAAGTAGCCAGGACTATAGGTGTATACTGCCACACCTGGCTAATTTTTTGATTTCTTAGTTGAGACAAGGTCTTGCTCTGTTGCCCAGGCTGCTTTCAAACTCCTGAGCGCAAGCAGTCTTCTTGCCTTGACCTCACAAAGTGCTGGGGTTACATGCCACTGCACCCGGCCTTTTATAACTTATTTAAAAAAACAAATAATACAAATTCTTCACAAAATCTTTCAGAAAACAAAAGAGGAGGGAATACATCCCAACTCATTCTATGAGGCCATTGTTATCCTGATTCCAAAACCAGTCAAAGATATCACAAGAAAAGAAAATTACATATACTATCATCTATTAAGAATACAGAGACAAAAATTATCAATAAAGCACTAGCAAATGGAATCTAGAATATATAGAAAGGATTGTATGCCATGATAAAGTGGGGTTTTTCAAACCAGGATTGCAAAGATGGCTTAAAATCTGTAATTCAATGAATGTAATACATCATATCAACAGGATAAAGGAAAAAAAATCATATGATTCTCTCAGGAGACACTGAAGAAGCATTTGACAAAATTTAGCAACCTTTCATGATAAACATACTCAACAAACTAGGAATAGAAGGGAACTTCCTAGAAATTGGATAAGGGGCATTTATGAAAAAACTCAGAGCTAACTTCATACTTAATGGTGAAGAAAGCTTTTCTACTGAGATAAGATGTCTGCTATCAGCAATTCTGTTCAACATGGTACTCTAGTCAGAGCAATTAAACAAGAGAATCAAAAAAAACATGCGTATTAGAAATAAAACCATCGATATTTATAAATGATATGATCTTATTTATAGAAAACTAAGGAATGCACTAAAAAACTATTAGAACTAATAATGAGTTTAGTAAGACAGGATGCAAGGTTAATTAACAAAAATCAATTGTATATCTATACAATACCAATGAACAGTCCAAAAATCAAATTAAGAAAATCCTATTTACATAGCTTCAAAAAGAATATAGGAATAGATTTTTCAAAAACATAAAACCTATACTGTGAAAACTACAAAAATGTCATCGAAATAAATTAAAGAAGACATAAATAAATGGGAAGACAGTCCATGCTCATAGACCAGAAGACTTAATATTGTAAATATAGGAATATTCCCCAACAGATTCAGTGCATTCCCTCTGGAACTTATAGCTGGTCTCTTTTGAAATAGATAAGCTGATTCTAAAATTCATATGTAATTGCAAGGAATCCAGAATAGCCAAAAAGGCATTTTTGGGGAACTCACACTTCCTGATTTCAAAACTTACTACAAAAGCCATAGTAATCAAGACAGTGTGGTACTGGTAAAGGGACAGATATATAAATTCAATGGAATAGAATTGAGAGTCCAGAAATAAACCAATACTTGTATAGCCATGGTCAATGAGTTTTCAACAAGGTTTCTAGACCATTCGGTGGGAGAAAGAATAGTCTTTTCAACAAATGGTGCTGGGACAATTGGATCTCCATATGTAAAATAATAAAATTGAACGCGATTTTCAGGGATTACTATGGTAGTAGATCAGAAGGATACCTCACTGAGACTGGGTAAAAGAGGTGTCGAGTGGTGGCATTGTGGGAAAGAACAAAAAGTCTTCCTATGGGAGATTATGTCTAAGATAAGACTGAGAATAAATAGGAATTATTCAAAGAAAAGATATTGCAGGTAATGGAACGCATATGCAAAGACTTGGAATGGAATCAGAGGATGTCACTGATGGTTAACTGTGTATATGACCTGCCTGAGCATAATACATGTTTCGGGGCAGGCCAAGTACAGCTATTTCTTTACAATATCATTGTGGATTTCACTGACCAGATTTTAAGCCCAACCTGCCTAGAAGACAGACTAAGCACTTATTATTCTCCAGTACAAGGCATGAGAGCTTAAATTACTTAAATGGTCTGGTAGATTGATAAAAGCAATATTATAGACTCTAAGTCCATCCACGTTGCTGTGAAGTTCATGATTTTGTTCTTTATTCTCAAAGGGATACAATGATTTTATAATACACCTTTGAGCAACTCCCCTATTTGGAAGTTTATCTTTCCTTTTGAGAAATTGGAGAGTGAAAGAATTCTTGCTTTTTAATGATCTTCTTAGAAAAGTACATTATCTTACCCTCAGCATGATGGGAAATGGAATCAAGGAGAATGTTTGCCCTAAAGCCAAGACAGGCAGCTGAGCTTGGGGCTGAGAACTCTGAAGGGAGAGTTGGCTAGGTTACTATGTCTTGTAAATAACTACTGTCATATTTTTTCCAAATAACTTAGGAAAACAAATTAACTAACAGGGTGTGTGTGTGTGTGTGTGTGTGTGTGTGTGTGTGTATGAGAGAGAGAGGAGAGAGAGAATTGGGGAATTGCAAGGAGGGTGTTTATCAAGGTCTTTAAAAGTTGGAAATAAGGCATTTTTGTAGGAGATAATTCTTCATAATGGCAAAATTCTTCATACACTGGCTTTCTAACCACATCCTATAGAAGAATTGGTACCCTGAATACACATCCTCTCTGGCAACTGCATGCTTTTTATCAAAGCCGTTAAAAAAAAAAAAAAAAAGAGGTCATTATATTTTGTGATTCTGATTTATTTACTATCTAGGGGGCATAGAGTTATCATTCTAACATCTGAAATAGAATGTGTGTTTATTGCTTCTCAGCTCTGTGTGGTGTCCCTGGCATTATTCAGAACTCTCATTGGTTTACATTGTGAAGATGTCATGTTACAACTAGTTCTAAGGTGAGTTGCTTTTTTTTGTTCCCTTTAGAAAAATATTCACTCCATATATTACCTTATATTCACATACTTTATAAGCTAAGTAGAGGCCAGTTTCTAAGGAATAAAATTAATTTATTTTATGCGTTATTTCCCAAGGTTACTTTTACTATTAGAATTTTTTTTCTAGTGCAGTTCTGTATTTTAATCTGGCATATTTGGCTATGTTGAAAAAGAATACATGTCTAGGAAAATGTGTTTCAAGAAACAATTGTATTTCTTTTTTTTTTTTTTTTTACACTACTAATAGATTTATTTATTTATTTTTCTTTTAATTTTTTTATTTTAAAGATGTGGGGTACAATTCTGGGTTAGGTATGCAAATGTTCATTATGCAGGCACCCTTGTTAATGAGGTGGGCCCCCCTTTCCCAGGCAGGTTCCCACTACTGCCAATCCCGCTTCCACGCCCCCCTCCTGGCAGTTTCCCACTACTGCCAATCATTCTCTTATAGTATTACAAAAATTGTTCAAGGTACGCTTATGAGTGAGAACATGTAATACTCAATTCTTTCTTTCTGTGAAATGTCACTCAATATTATAGATTCTAAGTCCATTCATGTTGCTGTGAAGTTCATGATTTTGTTCTTCTTTATGTCTGCATAATATTCTATCGTGTACATGTAACACATTTAAAAAAATCCAGTCCTCTTTTGATGGGCATCATGGTTGGTTCCATGTTCTTGCTACTGTGAACAGTGCTGCAATAAACATATTTGTGCGGGTATCTTTTTTATAGAGTGATTTGCATTCTTCCTGGTATTTTTCCAGTAGGGGGATTACAGGGTTGTATGGAAGGTTGATTTTTAGATCTTTTAGGAATGGCCCACTGTTTTCCACAGAGGTTGTACTAGTTTACGCTCTCACCAACAGTGTAGAAGTGTTACCTTTTCACTGCATTCTCTCCAACATCTTTTGTTTTTTGTTATTGATGATAGCCATCCTGACTGGAGTTAGTTGGTATCTCAGTGTAGTTTTAATTTGCATTTCTTTGATGACTAGTGAGACTGAGCATTTTTTCATTATCTGTTTGCTGCTCATACGTCTTCTTTTGAAAACTGTCTATTCATATCTTTTGCTCATTTTGTAATGGGGCTGTTTGTTTTTTTCTTTTCGGCATGTTTGAATTCCTTGTAGATCCTAGATGTTAGGCCTTTGTCAGACATACAGTTGGCAAATATTTTTCCCCAGTCTGTGGGCTGTCTCCCTGCTCTCTTGATGGTTTCTTTGCAGAAGCTTGCCAGTTTGATGACGTCCCACTTGTCTATTTTATCTCTTATGGCGTGAGCACTTGGGGTTTTGACAAGGAATTGGCTGCCAGTTCCAATTTCCATAAGGGTATCTCCTGCATTTTCTAAGGTTCTTATAGTTTGAGGTTTTACATTAGGTCTTTGATCCATTTAGAGTTGATATTTGTGTATGGTGGTAGGTAGGTGTCTTGTTTTAATCTTCTGCATTTGGTCAGCCAGTTTTCCCGTGCCATTTACTGAATAGTTTCTCCTCTCCCTAGTGGTTGGTAGTGGAGGCTTTTTTGTAGGTGAGTTGGTTGAGAAATTGAGGCTTTGCTTCTGGAATCTCTGTCCTGTTCCATTGGTCTATATGCCTGTTCTTGTACCAATACCAGGCTGTTTTGATTATATAGCTTTATAATAAAATTTAAAGTCTGGCAGTGTGATACCTCTCGCTTTTTTTTTTTTGCTGAGGATTGTTTTGGCTATTTGTAGCCATTTATGTTTCCATATGAATTCCTGTATTGTCATTTCCAGGTCTGAGAAGAATGCTGCTGGTAATTTAATGAGTATTGCATTAAATCTGTAAATTTCCTTGGGTAGAATGGACATCTTAACAATGTTGATTCTTCCAATCCATGAGCATGGAATATTTTTCCATTTGTTTGTGTCATCTTTGATTTCTTTGCACAGTGTTTTGTAGTTTTCATTGTAAAGGTCTGTCACGTTTCTGGTTAGGAAGATGCCAAGGTATTTCATTTTTGTGTGTGTGGCTATTGTGAATGGGATTGTGCTTTTTATTTGAGTTTCTGTTTGTTTGTTGTTGGTGTATAGAAATGCAGCTGTCTTTTCCACATATATATTATATCCTGAGACTTTGCCAAAGTCTTTTATCAGTGCAAGGAGGTTTTTGACAGATTCTCTTGGGTTTTCGAGGTATAGAATCATGTCGTCTGCAAAGAGGGATAACTTGACTTCCTCTTTTCCTATTTGGATACCCGTGATTGTCTTCTTTTGTCTGATTGCTCTAGCTAGGACTTCCAAAACTATGTTGAAAAGCAGGGGTGAGAGTCTTGTTCCGGTTTTCAGAGGAAATGGTTCCAATTTCTGTCTGTTTAGCAGTATGCTGGTTGTGGGCTTCTCATAGATGGCTCTTACTACTTGGAGGTATGTTCTATCTATGCCTAGATGTTTGAGGGTTTTATCAAGAAGGGGTGCTGGATTTTATCAAAAGTTTTTTTCACATCTAATGATATAATCATGTGGTTTTTGTTTTTACATCTGTTGATATATTTAAGTATGCTCATGGTGTTGCAAATGTTGAACCAGCCTTGTATCCCAGGAATGATTTTTGAGTTGTGTTGTTGGATCTGGTTTGCTAGGATTTTGTTGATAATTTGAGCATCTATGTTCATAAAGATATTGTCCTGTAGTTCTCTTTCTTTGTTGGATCTTTACTTGGTTTGGGTATCAATGTGATGTTAACTTCATAAAATGGTTTGGGAAGAGTTCCATCTTTCTCAATTGCCTGGAATACTTTCAATAGGGTTAGTATCAGTTCCTCCTTGTATGTTTTGTAGAATTCTGCTGGAAAGCAATCTGGTCCAGGGCTTTTTTTTTTGGTAGGTAGTTTTCTTATGACATAGTCAATCTCCTGGATTGCTATTGGTCTATTTGGGGTCTTGATTTCTCCTTGTTTCAACCTGGGGAGGTTGTGTGATGTCAGAAATTCTTCCATTTCCTTAGGTTTTCACGTTTTGTTTCCATACAAGTATACATAGTAGTCTCTGATAATCTTTGCATTTCTTTGGGGTCATTTGTGACATGATCTTTTACATTTCTGATTGTGTTTATTTGGACTTTTTCTCTCTTTTTCTTCATCAGTCTAGATAGGGGTCCATCAATCTTGTTTATCCTTTCAAAGAACCAGTTTTTTGTTTTGTTGATTTTTTTTTTATATTATATTTTTGTCTTCTGTGTCTCAAATTTGGGCTTTTATTTTGGTGATCTAGATTCCTCTGCTGAAGTTAGGATCTTGGTGGTCTTGCTTTTACAGCTTAGGTGATTTGTTAGGCTATTGAGTTGTGATCTTTCCATTTTCATGTGTGTTCGTAGAGATATGAATTCCTCTCATAGTGCTGTTTTCATGACATCCCAGAGGTTTTGGTAAGATGTTTCTTTATTTTCATTTGTTTCCAGTATCTTTTAATCTCTGTTTTGATTTCCATGTGGACCCAGGAGTTGTTTAGCATCACGCTGTTTAGTGTCCATGTCTTTGTGGGTTTTGGGGAAAGTTTGTTGGTGTTGATATTTATTTTTATTCCACTGTGGTCTGAGAAGGTACATGGCAGTATTTCAATCCTAAGGAATTTGTTTATGCTTGATTTATGACTGAGGTTATGGTCAGTATTAGAATACATTCCATGTGGTGATGAGTAGAATGTATATTCTGTGCCTATTGGGTGGAGTTTTCTGTAGGTACCAATTAAGTCTATTTGGTTTAGCGTCATGTTGAGGTTCTGGAGCTCCTTGTTGACTTTTGTCTCGATGATCTGTCTAGGGTTGTGAGTGGGGTATTTAAGTCCCCAACTATGATAGTGTTAGAGTCAATATCTTTTTAAAGTTTACCTAGAAGCTGCTTTATGAAAGTTGGTGCTTCGATGTTGGATGCATATATGTTTAGGATGGATATTTCTTGTTGATGAATTGAACCTTTTATCATTATGTAGTGACCTTTCATGTCTTTTAAAATTTTTGATAGCTTAAAGGGTATTTTGTCTGATATTAAGATTGTGACTCCTGCTTTCTTTAATGTTCTATTCACCTGAAATTTTGTTTCCCATCCTCTTACTTTAAGTCTATGAGTGTCCCTTCTGGTGAGATGAGTCTCTTGGAGACAATATATTGTTGCCTCATGATATTTTATCCATTTTGCCATTTTGTGTCTTTTCAGTGGTGCATTTAGTCCATTCACACTCAGGCTAATTATTGAGATGTGAGAGTATATCCCAATACTCCAGTATCCAGTGTTGTTGCCACTGTTTATTTGTTTGTTGTTCTTTTGATTTTTGGGTTGACTCATGTGTGTTTTCAATCTTTTTCCTGCATTCTTGAGAAGGGTGTTGTTCTTTTTTTCCCTTTCCTCTGTGTTTAATACTTATTAAGTGTTTCTTTTAGAGCTGGTCTGGAGGCAGCATAAACTCTTAGGGATTGAATGTCTTGAAATAATTTCAATTCTCCATCACTGATGAAGCTTAGGTTAGCTTGGTAGGTAATTCTTGGTTGAAATTGTTTATCTTGGAGTATTTTGAAGATTGGGCTCCAAGCTCTCCTTGCCTAAAGATAAGTTTCTATAGATAAATCTGCTGCTATTCTATCTAATTGGTCTTCCCTGGTAGGTAGTCTGACCTTTCTCTCTTGCTGCCTTTGAGGTTTTTTTTAATACCTACTTTGTGTAGGCCAATTACTATGTGTCTAGTAGTTGGTCTTCTCATTCATTGTCTTACAGGGATTCTCTGACTCTCTTGTGTTTGAATGGTCATATCTCTGATGAGATGAGGGAAATTTTCTTGGATATTTCATGGAATGTTTGTTCCAGGTGGTCTCTGTCTCTCTACCTGCCTCAGAGATTCCAATTAAACTTAGGTTCAGCCTCTTGAAATAATCGCTCATCTCTCTGAGGTTTCGTTCTGTCTTTTTAAACTTCTTTTCTATGTTTTTAATAGTTTGGGCTAGT